CACGAGCCCAAGGGGCCCTGAGGGAAACGAGTCCTGGAACCTGGGGTCTCTCCCCGGACGGAGCTTCTTGCCCTGAGCCTTGCCTGCTTCACGGTCCAGGGATGGGGAGGGCCCCGGAAGACCGAGGACGACGACCAAACTCTGGACCCCTTCCTCCCAGGACTCTCGTTGCTTCCTGGCGGGTCCTTGGAGTGAATCACGTACACCATCTTGCCCGGGATCCCGCGCGTCGCTCCGCTGCCCCAGGGCGCGTTTCCGAGGTGCGCTATGTCGAGCTCGCCGTTCTGGAGCTTCTTGATCACCTTGCCGCCCGCCGTTTGGGGCCAGAAGGTGTACCTGTACGTGGTGTTCGTCTCGGTGTCATGCCATGAGTGGGCGTCGATGGCGTAAGTCCAGAGGTGGCCTGCGGACTCCTTAAAGTAGCCGTAGTTCACGTTCACCACGTCGCTCACGCTGCGAGGAAGTCCGGCGAAAAGAACAACCCCTGCGAGAAAGAGTCCGACTGGTAGGTTCGTCATTATCACTGCACCCCCCGCCAGGACTCGAAAATAGCCGAAACGTGTCGCTGGTGTGTCTGGGTAAAAACAGCTGCAGAGGACTCGCGCCGATATTCTTGATCAGCCCAGCCCACGAAGCACCCTAAAATTACTGGGTGGGCCCTTGGAGGGAGCCACTGGGCAGGACTCCTGGGGATGACTCCTGGAAGGCCCACCTGAGGGTGCTCCCGGGGAAGCCCCTGGACGTGCCATGCTTGTGGCGCCTCCTGTGGCGGTCCCCTGGGTGGGTCCCCTGGAGAGGGCTCCCAGGGGATGCGTCTGAGGTGGGCTCGCGGGGAGGCTCCCGGGGAGGAGTCCCCAGCGAGGCTCCTGGAGTCTGCGGGCGCGTCGTGGGGACTCGCAGGAGAGGGAGCGCCCGCGGAGTTTTCACATGGAGGCTCGGCCCGTATCAGAGGGATGCGCGATAAGGATGCAAGGGCCGTGGAAGACCGTGGCGACACTTCGCGGGCGGGGCGCGGCCAGCAAAAGCCGCCAGAGATGGGCCGAAGAGAAAGGACGCAAGTGTACCCTTGGGAAGGTTGCCCATCCTCACTGTGCGGGTTGGCTGCAGGCCGCAGTGGGGACGATCCGACGGCTCAGCACGGCGTCGGGGCCTGGGAGGGCTGACGCAGCGAGGACCCGACGGCCCTGCCAAGGCTTCGGTGCTTGTGAAGGGTAGGAAGTAGCTGGCATAGCCAAATGCAAAACATCTCGCGGCCTGGTAGGCCTTGCATCGCACGCCAGAGGCATCCGCGCTTGATTTGAACCACGCGTCAGCCAGAGGGTGGGGGACCGAGAGGAAGCTACATACTGCCCAATGTGAGAAAGTCAATCCCAGCGGGATCTCTTATTTTCCAATGGTGCCCCTGGTCGACACCACCTGTACGGACAACGACGAACTTGCCTGAGCCTGGCATCCGAAACGCCTAGGACCATCAAAAGCAGACTTGGCATTCGACTGGTGTGTATAGCTGGTCGTGGCTCCGCGCCCGCGGCCACGACGCTCTCCAGTTTCACGGATTGAGGGCGGGCGGTTCTCGAACTGTGGCTCTCGCCTCAGCGCCAGCGCATTCGTCTGAAGAGTTTGCAGCAGCTTCGCAGATGGAGGGCGGGCGCCCTCCCTGGGCCTTGGCGACCCTCCAGAAACGACTCTCGTAGTGATGTAGGTCTCCCCCCCCCCTTTTATGCGAAGAACAAGAACCAGGTTAGGAGGGATGGGTTGGGAGGATGAAGGGTATGAGCAACAGCATCTGGATGCAGTGAACGACACCCTCGGCCGCCTACGGTCAAGGATATCCTCACTTCGCCCAACCCCCTCCTCCCAACCCCATACCTGTCCTCCTGACCTCACCACCCGCCCGAGACTCAGGATGAAACGCCGGTCCCGGGGAAGGGGTCGATGCCTCGGGGGGCCGGCGCTGCAAAGACCTCGTGGCGTCGGGGGTTCCTTGGGAGAGCCGCGCCGCCGACGGAGCCACCACGGGCTGCGGCCACCACGGGGGGCCCTGCAGTCGAGAGGAGGAGGAGGAGGAGGAGGAGGAGGAGGAGGAGGAGGAGGGGGAGGAGGAGGAGGAGGAGGAGGGGGAGGAGAAGGAGGAGGAGGAGGAGGAGGAGGAAGAAGAGGTGGAGGAGGAAGGAAGGAGCGTGCTCTCGTTGCGGTCGGGAGGCCTCGGTGCTGCACCCCAGCGGCCGCCTCCCCCCCCAGCGAGGCCGCAGCGGCGCCGCGGCCGGGGTCGAGGGCCTGGGCGCTGTTGAAGGGGCCCAAGGACACCCAAATAAATACACACAGATCAACATATTCCCTATATTTTCTAATATTTTCTGGGTTTCTGTCTTCCCGCCCACTTCCGATATTTTCCCATGCTTTCTGGAGAATCGAAGATTAATTGTGTCTGTGTGTTTCTTTTCCTCCTGAGCTGTGGGCACCAGCTGCCGGACGGGCCTGGGTGAGGCACGCTGTGCTGCCGCTCAGCCCAAACGCTTGCGCCACAAGTGGAGGGCAAACATTCCATCCCATAAGAACCACCCGACAAGCGAGGCCGTTTCGTAAACGCACTTACAGAAAGAATCGAACAGGGCAGGGCTGTTAGTAAACGCCCAGGGACGTGTAGTAAACGCCAATTGTCGCGCCCAGGTGTTTTTGTTGGTTCTTTGGACAAAGGCTACGAACAAACAGGAACCTGTGCCACTCACATGGATCGCGAGTCCGCAGCGAGCCCCAAAGGGTTCGAAAAATAATATTTTTACAAGAGACAGCACAACATGCCGTCAGCGCGACCCAGAAGAAACACAATATGCAATCCGATGGAATCCAATGGGGCTCATTTGTGTCCAATCGAATCGTATGGACCCCGCTGGACTCCAATGGATCCCGGTATGGTCCAGTGGGAACTCAGTGGAGTTGTATGGAATCCAATGTAGTCATGCGTGCATTCCGGTGGAGACCAATAGAGTCGTATGGGTGTTCCTCTGGAGGCCAATGGAGTCGCACGAATGTTCCAGTGTAGCCCAACGGTGTCCAGTGGAGTCCTATGGCATTCCAATGGAGTTCGTGGAGTCCACCGGATTTACCTAAAGTGCAATCGAGACAGGAAGAATTCCAAAACATACAACAATAAGAATCAGTAGAGCCCAATGGTGTCCAATGGAGTCCGCTTGGGCCCCGTGAAGTCCAACGGACTCCCTTCGGTCAATTCGTCTACCTCCATTTGGACCAAACTCACGTGTATATAGACATCTGGCCGCGGACATTATTTTCCGTTGTTTTCTGTGATCAGTAACGAGGTCGAGACGGGCCCGCGAATTAAACTTTGAGGATGTCCCGAGCGAAACGCTGGTTCTTAAAATTCCAACACATGGTAAAGTAAGCATTTTCGCGAAACGCTGGTTTTTCAAATTCCAACACATGGTAAAGTAAGCATTTTCGCTTGTTGCGGATGACTCGAACGAAACGCTTGTTTTGCATAATTTGTTGAAGACGCCTCAAGCGAAACGCTTTTTTGGGAGACTTCCAGGAACCTGGGCGCCCAAGCATGTCCCAGGGCGCGCTCCGAGGGCAGACGCAGCGTAATCTACTGGTGAACGTGGCCCTGGGAGTGCGGGCACAGCATAATTCACAAGGGAGCGCAGACCTGGGCGCGCCAACGCAGCGTAGTTTACGAGGGAACGTGGCCCAGGGAAAGCGGACGCAGTGTAATTTACAGGGGATCGCGGCCCGCGTAATTTACGAGGGATCGTGGCCCTGGGAGCGCGGACGCAGCGAAATTTACAAGGGATCCTGGCCCTGGGGGGCGGACACAACGTAAAGTACTAGGGGACGTGACCCTGGGAGCGCGGACACAGCGTAATTCACAAGGGAGCGCGGACACAGCGTAGCTTACGAGGTATCGTGGCCCAAGGAAAGCGATCGCAGCGTAATTTACGAGGGGTCGTTGCCCTGGGAGCGCTGGCGCAGCGTAATTTACGAGGGATCGTGGCCCAAGGAGCGCGGACGCGGCGAAACTTACAAGGGATCCTGGCCCTGGGGAGTGGACACAATGTAATTAACTGGGGAAGGTGTCCTGGGAGCGCGGACACAGTGCAATTCACAAAGGAGCGCGGCCCTGGGAGCGCGGACGCAGCGTAGTTTACTAGGGATCGTGGCCCAGAGAGAGCGTACGCAATGTAATTTACATGGGATCGTGGCCCTGGGAGCGCGGACGCAGCGTGATTTGCAATGAATCGTGGCCCTGGGAGCGCGGACGCAATATAATTTACGATGGATCCTGGCCCTGGGTCAGGGACGTCCCGCGGCACGTTGCCTGACGCGTTCCCTGGCACGTTGCCCGGTGCGTCGCCTGGCACGTTCACTGGCACGTTCCGTGGCGCGTCCTGTGGCGAATCCCCCTGGCACGTCGCGCGGCGCGTCCCCTGGCGCGTCCCGTGGCACGTCCAATGGCACGTTCCGTAGCGCGTCCCCTTGGCACGTCCCGCGGTGCGTCCTCATGGCACGTCCCCTGGCACGTCCACTGGCGCGTCCCTTGGGACGTTCTGCGGCGCGTCCTCCTGTTATGTCCCCCTGTCAATTAGCTCTGGGGCAGCTACTATGTGCTCAGGCAGCTCGAGCTTAAGATCCAGATCAGTTCGGTCAGGACTCGGATGCAAAGGAGGACCCGATCCACAACGCGACAGAGCCTAATCGCGGCATGGCACATCGCAATTCAGCACGGCGCAGCGCAGCACAGCCCTTGGCACGGTACATCAAGATCGACACACTCAACATTGCATTTGCCCGTCGCCCAATCAGCTGTCTTGAGCACGTTGCCATGCCTTACATATTGATATTCCTTTCCAGGTTCGTGGGTCGATAATGTTACGTTCTAGCCGCGACATGCTGGCCATGTTGCAGAGATGGATGCTGCTGATCATGATGCTGGAGGTGTGGACGGCGAAGGTGGTGATGGCTGCTCGTCGATGATGCTGATGGTTGTTGGTGGTGCCTCCACTCCGTCGTCGGGGTGCTGCGCTCACCAACCGCCCGAGCAGGCAGGAGGATGACGAGGACAACCGCGCACCCGAACAAGAGCCCGTGCAGCGCGAGCCTACCGGAAGAGCTCGAGCAGACCACCGAGGACGCCTCCGCCCGCGGCCGCCGCGGGGGCCCGCCACGCGGCCCGGTGGTCGCTGGCCATGTCTCGCAGCGTCTCCTCCAGAGCCCGACACCCGACGCCGAGGAGGCTCTCCAGGCGGTCCGCACACTCCACCTCGCGGGCCCCCCTCGGCAACCGCGCCACGCCGGCAGCCCCCTCGTCGCCTCCGGCCTCCAGCCTGCCCCACGCCTCCGCGAGGCAGGACACGGACACGCCCTCCTCCGCGCTGACGACGACGCGTTCGCCCGCGGCGGCGCCGCCGGAGGCCAGGAGCTCCCCGGCGGCGGCGTGCGCTGAGGCGACGTCGCGGACGTCCGCCAGCAACATGCCCCCTTCCGGACCGTCGCTGTGGATGGCTGCGGCGCTCATCCACGGGAACCGGCCCGGAGCGGTGCCTGGCAGCCTCCTCTCCGGGCCTATGATCGCGCAAGGGCACAGCGCGATCAGCGGCACTCCCAGCTCGCCCGCGCGCTCCCACGCCATCCGCTCGGACTGGGCCTTGCTGAATTGGTAGGCCGCGCCCCAACCGTCCTCTGCAACCTGGGGAACTAAAAGATATGCATACCGCTACTCCTAAACCGCTCCTGCGGTGCGTTCTGACCAGGACGTCGAGGCGAACCCGGCGGTGCTCATGAGGGCAGGATAGCGGCATCGGTAGGTTTTCCTCCTCTGCAGCCGACAGAGAATTCCAGTCGTGGTGGTCGTAGCACGAGCGCCCTGGCCGGAAGGGCTGCCCGGGTGCCCTCACGGCGGCCATCGACGACGTGAGGACCAGGGCGGGCACCGACGTGGACCCCGCGCACGCCAGCAGCACCGCCTCCGTGCTCGCGATGTTCGGCCTCACCATGTCTCGCAGCGGGTCGTCGCAGGGGCGGAACACCGCGGCAGCACGGACAGAAGGAGAAGAACCACCACAAGCACAGACTTTCGAAGGTCGGGGCGGACTTCTCGGATCGGCGCTGGGGTGGCGCCGGAGGCGCCGCCTGGGGGGCCCAGCGCCGGCCCGAGAGATCCGCGCGGACCTCCAAAAGTGTACTGTCAGGAACTCTTGCTCAGTGCGTCGAGGCGGCGGCCCTGACGAGACGCTATGCCCTGCGAGCGGATAGGTCCGCTCCGCGGGGCGGGGGGCCTGGAAAAGCTCGGGACTCTGACGCTTGTGAATTGGGACGTAGTGAGCGTGCCGCGCGCCGAAGCGTGGTGGGCCAGAACGGGCTGCGCGACACGTTACGCAACTATTCCTGACCGTGACGTTGCCCTTGCGCCTTGCCGCCGTCGCCGACAACACGGCGCAGCACTCTGCGGGTCAGGACTCACATCTCTGGCGGCCGCTCGGGACGATCCGGGCATCCGGAGAGCTCTCGGCGAGGCGCGGCCGCTGGATGGCATCCCGAGGCCCAAACGTCGCCGAGAAGCGACGGACCCGTCGGGAACCTTAGGGGGCCACATGCGAACCCTACCCCTACCCCCCACGATTCTTGAGGGGTAGGGTGGGGTTCACTTCGCTCGTGAGCTCTCGAACAAAGTGAACCCCACCCTCCCCCTCAAAAATCGTGGGGGGTAAAGGTAGGGCTCGCATGTGGCCCCCTAAACCTGGGGCCCGCCGAACCCGAACACCCGAGAAAGGCCCTGTGCAGGTTCGCCTCCTTCGGATGGAACACCACGTCCGCCTCGGAGGCGGCGACCGCGGCGGCGACCGCGGCCCCGTCGGCCACGTCGACGGGCCGCACGCGGAGGCGCCGCGGCCCCCCGGCCGCGCCCGGGCCCGCGGCCTCGGCCGCGACCTGCGGCAGCGCCAGGGCCCGAGGGCTGCGCCCGTCGCGCACGAGCGCCTCGACGCTCCAGCCGCGCTCCAGCAGCTGGCAGCAGAGCTCGCGGCCCAGGAGCCCCGCGGCGCCCGTGACCACCGCGCGGCGCCCCGCGCCCACCACCTCGCGGCCGCGCCCTCCTCCTCCTCCTCCTCCTCCTCCTCCTCCTGCTCCTCCTCCCCCTCCTCCTCCTCCTCCTCCTCCTCCTCCTCCTCCTCCTCCTCCTCCTCCTCCTCCTCCTCCTCCTCCTCCCTCCTCCTCCTCCCCTCGTCCTCCTCCTCCTCCTCCTCCTCCCCCTCGTCCTCCTCCTCCTCCTCCTCCTCCTCCTCCTCCTCCTCCTCCTCCTCCTCCTCCTCCTCCTCCCCTCCTCCTCCTCGGAGACGAGCACGGTGGCGCGTCGTCTCCGACGATCCGCCACCGTGCCGCGAGGCACGAGCTGGAGCGCCCTCTGGCCCCTGGTAGCCATCGAAAGTCTCAGTCCTCATGGCGGGAGCGAGCACTACAGTGGGTGATAAGGGCGCAAGACCCTTGGAGGCCGAAATTGGTTTTTTAGGGCGGCGGGCGACCAGTGATAATGGCAAGGACGGGCCTCAGAGGCAAGGACACAAGGGTACCCTAGATGAAGGCGCGCGTCCTTGCTAGGCGCATTGACTGTATGGGGCCCGGGCCCCAAACTCTCACAACATTTTCGGGGGGTCCTGGCGTGCCTCCCGCTGTTCCTCGGCGCTTCTCGCACGACTTCTCGGAGCCACGAGCGCCCGAACCCGGGCCAAGAGGGCCTCGAGAGGCCTCCGACCTACAATTCAGGCACGGTAGCGGGATGGGCCGAAAGCCAGCAGAACCCGCCGCCCCCCGTTGGCTTGCCATTGGGGTGCGCACGGCGTGCTGGAGTTAGGGTGGTTTTTGGCTCTTGAAGTTCCCAGTGGGCCTCGGCCGATCCCGCTGGTCACCCGGACAGCCGCTGAAGATACGTCTCCCGCTGCCCAAATCGCCGGCAAGACGGCCAGTGTGGCCCAACAGGGCCTTCAAGATGCCTCCGAGACGGCCAAGATGGCCCAAGATGGACCCCCACGACGGTCCTCAGACGCCTCCCAAACGGCCCAGATGGCCTCAAACCAACCCACGATGCCCTCCAGACGGCCCAAGAGGCCCCCAAGATGCCTCACGAGGGCTTGAAGAGGAGCTTCATGAAGCCAAAACATGGATCGCCTTTTGGGTTATGAGTGATTTGGGCGTTGTCACCGATTCGGACTTCCGACCCTCCAAGACGGCCCCATAAGCCCCCCAAGTCGCCCCGAGATGGCCCAAGAGGCCTCCAAGAGGCCTGCGAGACGGCACCAAAAAACTCCAAGACAACCCAAGAGGCCCCTTATGACGGCACCGAGACGGCCCACGAGGGCCTTAAACCGCCCGACGAGGGACCAAGACGGCCTCCGAAGGCCAAAACGTCGTTTGGGGGCCCTCAGACGGGCCCCAGGGAACCCCCAAGAGGCCCTCAAGAGGCCCATTGAAAACCCCCAAGGCGACCATTGGAGGCCTCTAAAAGGTTCCCACGAAACACCCACGAGGCCCCAAGAGGGCCTCAATCGGCCTTTTCTTCCTTATCGTTCTCCTCGTTCCCCCCCTGTCTTCATCGTCCTCCTTTCCTTTCGCTTCCTCTCCCAATGGTATCCCCAAAGGGTTCTACTACGGCTGGGGGAGCACATCGTCCAATACCCTGGCCAAACTTCGACCCAACGTTTGGCTGCATGAGCGTTTCCAAAAGGCAGGGGGCAGTGACTCGTCGCAGGCGTCTTCGATCACACTATTTTCCCAATCCGCGAGCTTCGCCTCGATTTCATCCAGGGCCAACCATCGTGCCCCAAAACCATCCAAAATGGGCCCCGCGCAAGTATCTCGCGGGGTAGGGGCGAAGAGGAGGGAACGCGACCACAGAGCTAAACGCCCGAAAAGGTCGCGGGCCGATCGGCAACGCCGCGCGAGCCGACGCGCGGTGGGCAAGCTCACGCATTGAACCGCGGCGCGCTCGCGGACCTGCTGCGAAAACCTGGCCCCCGTGAAGCGGTCGAGACCTCTGGGGCCACGTTTGGCGCCTACGAAATGGCGAGGGGGGCTTCTTGGAAGGAGGCTGCTGCTTAGAAAGCGTTAGCCCTACATGTGCAGACAAGGCCCGCGCCCCCGTCTCCGATTAAACAAGATGAGCGCTACTTTCCCTCATTCCCTAAAATTGTCCGGTAGATCTCCCGCCTCATCCGCGTGCTGCGTTAAACGCGCGCGATTTCCCGCGTTTTGGCCGGTGGTTTTCACATCGGATGGGATTGTGGGGAAAGGATGGCCCCACGCCGCTGCGAATGACGTCCGGGGGATAATCAAGTTTGGGATTTCGAGGGGACGATCAACGATTTGCCTGGTACGTCGCGCGAGGGGTGTGTGGCGAGGCAAGAGGAGGTCGTCGTCGTCGTCGTCGTCGTCGTCGTCGCACAAAGGCGACGACGTTGACGACGACGATTGCGACGACGACTGCGACGACGAGGAGGAGGATGTTCCCCGCAGTCTTTCTCGCGAGAGGCCTAAAGCTTGCCCGCGCCATTCAAATCCTTGGCGCTCCTCGCCAGGAAGCCTCTCTTGCGGACAAACTCGAAATGCTCGCCCGCGCAGCCTCGGCGCCCCTCGGGGCTGTCCGTGAGGGGCAGGCGCTTTGCGCGCGCCTGGGCTGCCGCGAGAGCCTCCTCGAAAGTCTCGAGCTTGGGTTCGTGCGCGGTCGGGTCCTTCGGCGTCTGGGCCTTGCCTTCGCTCTGGGCCTTGACCTTGGCAGAATGGTTGTCGCTTGTGCCCCGAAGCTTCTGGGCTCGTTGCCTCGAGCGCAAGCCATGTTGATGCTGGTGGGCGGTTCGCGGCCCTCGCCTCGGATGTCGCGCAAGGCGCGCTCGACCCGCCTCGTCGCCCTGAGTCCGCAGGACCAGCCGTCAAGTTGGAACGTCTTGTTGCTGCGCGGAGGGCGTCCCTCGCCAAGGCCGTTGGCGCCGAGCTTTCGGGGGGTCCTCGCGGCGGCCTGCATGGCGTTCTCGGGCGGCTTTTAGAGGGCGTCGCGGTGCGCGACGGCCATGCCCGCCCCTTGCTTGGACACCTCGAGGTAGGTGTAGTGCGCGGGAGCACCGGAACGCATCGCGATCAGCAGGTGCTCGGCCTTCTCGACTCTCTCGGCCCAGCGCTTCTGCTCCTGCTGCTGCTGGGTGGTGGGCTCGTCCTCGCCCTGGCCCTCTCGAGCCCAGGCGGCGGCCGCCGTGGGCTCGACCGCTGCCGCGCATGGAGGGGCGCCCGCGCGCTCTTCGATCTCGCCGAGCAGCGCGTGCACCGTGCCTAGCTCGAGGGCGCCGCCCTTTATGATCTGCTCGCAGTTCACGATCGCGAACTCCTTGGCGAGCTCGGCGCGCTGGGCCCCCTTGCGCGCTCGCCAGCCCTGCTTCGGGGTTTCGGGGAACTCCCAGTCCTGCTCGACCGCGACCTTTGAGGTCCAGGGGCTCACGGGCGCTCGTTACCTTCCACCTGCTTCCGCCTCCTGGCCTCGAGCTTTCACCTGCTTCCGCCTGCGCTTCCGCCTTCGCTTCCGCCGCGCCCCCCTGCGTCCGCTTGCTTCCGCTGTCCCCCCCCCTTTCCTCCTCCTCCATCCTCCTCCTCCTCCGCCTCCTCCTCTTCTTCCTTCCTCGCGTGGGCCCCCGAGCCTCGCTGCTGTCGATCTGGGAGATCGCCGCGGCGCCAACCTCGCGCGCTCGGAGCCAGTGCAATCGCGGGCCCCCTCCTCGGCGACGCCGGGCACCTTGACGTGCCGGAGTGGGGCCCTCGCAAGCCTTGAGGCCCGCCTTCGCCTCGGCCCTGCCCGCTTTCCTCTCACCCTTTTGCGCTTGCACCTTGGCCGTAAACTTCTCGGAGAAGCTCGCCTTTGCCCTCGGGGCCCTGCCTGTGAGCTTCGCCTTGGCCGCGCCCCGTCCAGGGTGCTCGAGCGCGGCCTTGCCGTCGGCCTCGGCTTTCGTGCTCTGCCACTCGCGCTGCAGCTTGCCCAGGAACTGGCCCG